AAAAAACAACAACCTAGCAAAACACTATGGAAGTTCGTAATTCTCAAGTATTCTTCTTCGTGTAATACAGCTAAAAAGAAACAATTAACTATAAGGTAAAACAAAATTGACAACGCTATTTGAATATGAGTATTATGCAAATATTCCAAACATTCTTTCAATCCATTATTTTGACGTTATTCATAATAGTTTATATAAACGATGTTAAAATACTTATTTACATTATTGAGTTATCTTTACAACTTAGCTATTGTCGTTTAAAGAATAATACTATACTTTCTTTATAAAGATCAACTTCGTTTATAAAATATATTGCATATTACATACACTCGAGTCTGTATACATTCAAATTTGTTAGGATCTTTAATTAATTAATTTAACAGTGTCATTCAAACAGTAACGATCTATCTATATTACTGTATTTTTTCTTAATATCCGTATGAGTATGTATGCTTGACATGTATTACAGTCTACATACATACTCCTCTTAACAGCTTAACTGTTAGTTGCTTAGATTGTTCAATGAATCATCTGTTTTCCTACATATGTGCTTCTTAAATCTTATTAATTTATTCACCCTTATTTGCTTGCTCGTATTCACTCATATTTGCTTTGTTTGCTTGAGGCTCTGTGATCTGTACTATACAATATCAAACTATAGTCAACAGTTTGTATTTTCTTTTGAAATTTATACACTATTGGGAGTTATATAATAACAGTTCTTTAGATGACTGATATATGAAGCACTGGAAATTATTTTGACAATATTCCATTACATATTCACAAGATAGAAAAATAGTTGATGGCAGAGTAGTTTTTACATACCACACAGTGCTATTTAACTTAATTACAATAGCAAACTGAGTTTATTAAATTTTTGATTTTGATGAATAAAACTTTATAATTAAATTTGAGTTTAACAATTGAGACTAAATATGTTAAAATGAAATTCGTAATAGATGAAGTTAACATTAAAACTGTATAATAAGTGAACATAATTTAAATTATGAATGTGTAGCTCAACATTGATAAGTTAAATCAATTACCAAATTTGTTTACATCATTAACTATTCTTACAATATAAGTGTAAATTACTAATTTGTATGTTAGTGAGTGTTACAAAGATGTTAATATAAAACCGGACACTTCTTTAAAGTACATAAAATTAAGTCAGTCAGTTACAACATAGAACCAAGCACATACATGCATCGGTCCAAGTTGCCATAACTCATTAGCACAGCAAAACGAACACTGGATTCATAGAAGCAGTTAACTCAATGGTGTAATAAATAAAGGAAAGATTTTATGTAAGGATATAGTACAAAAAGAAAGAATTAGTTCGTAGAAAGAAAGATATGACATAATTTTAATCTCATAGTTTAAGGGAAGACAGAGAGTGTATACACTGACGCCATTGTGATCGATTCTGAGCCCTGTCACTCAGAGTCTCCAACCATTGGTTACGATAGTCACGCGGACCACAACCAAGTAGTCTGCATCTACCAACATGACTAAGACTAGAAGTTAGTGATTTCAAGGACTGATGACACGTTTTGGTTTGGCCACCTCTAAGTTTCTTCCAACCATCCCCAACACTAGTCAGCATTGCGCGTCGTGGTAATTGTATTCAGGCATACGTAACACGTGGCCCAACTATCTCAGTCGATAGATTCACAATATCAAAATACTTTGCCTTTATCTCCAGAGGTAAATCTTTGTTAAGATGGTCTTTGTTTTGTCTTTTTTGTCTTGAAAGTCCTTATACAGAGGCAGCAAACAATTTATTATCTGAAGTATATGATTTAGTCAGTTGTGTTTTACCCCATTTTCCATTTAGCTACTACGAAGATATGCATTATTATTCTAGGGATAGTGCAATCTCATGAAAAATAAATAACAACCAATGGCTAAAATGAATGAAGACTTTTGTCGTCATTAAAAATAAGCCAATTCACTTAGTCCACTTAAGTAGTAGTTCAATTTCATTTCGAGTATTGTAATTATAAACTACTTTTTGGCAACTGTTAACTTTCAAAATCTGATTAATTAATTAATTAATACATTTGCATGTTTATTTATTTGTATTACGTTTGTGTACCTCCGATGAAGATCTAGTTTTATGTAGTTTTAATTTCATAGTATGTAATGCTGATTTAATGTGAAACTGTTTTTGTTGTAAACACAAATTTTATTTTGTTTATGATATTATGATCGTTTGAATAACCCATCTACAATTTCTAAACAAATACAAACTCTTAAATTAGATCTAAAAATTGAAGGTAGTCGTTTGATTGAAATAATCAATTCATTATATACATCAGTTATTGTTTTATAGTCTTGTTCAAATATTCAAACTTTTTTATGTTAGAAGTACTTTAAAATTTATTTAAGATTTTACCATTATAAGTAAATAACCAATTACTATTAAATTCTTGACTATCAGATTGATAAAGAAATAAGGTGAGGATCAAGTTATGAATAATACTAATTATTAGACGGACATTGTATATTGAAGTGATAGAAGTTGATATCCATCATAGAGCTGTTGAAAGCCATGGAGCTTCAGACAACTGCAGCTTGTAAAGTCGATCAATTTGGAAGTGAAATAGTAATTCATCGATCACCTTTAATAAAGACTATGGCGTTTGATGAACAGATTCAAATTGTAAATGTGAACCACTGTATTTTGAGATTTGAAAGTTGTTGGCCTAATCATGTGTGGATTAATGGGCACATACCATCAAGGAATACCAAACTAAAACAAAAAAATCGATTTATTATCTCTTAGTTTTCAGCAGTCTTCTAGCTGACATCAGTTTGCAATTGAAAGGACATTAAAAGCAACGTATAGTTAGTCTTATTGAGATATTGCTTTTCATTTTGTTAATGAATGAGTGCTATTGGAATTAGTTATAGTCAGTAAAGAGGATTGTCACAGACCACAATCTTTCAGACTGTTTGTTGGATAATAAAGAGTAAACTCAAGATTAAATATGGTTGGTAGTAAAATGATTGGAATATTTTAAATGACATCACTACTCTTAACGTTTTAGACAAATTCACCTACAAGATCTACAGCAAAACCCGATTATTAGCATTCGACGAGAGAACATGTCGATTCTTGGATCAATACAAGGCATAAATGAAAAGATGAATGTATTGTCGATAAAAATAACTGAATATATGTTCATACAAAGAGCAATCTTTGAGCTAAGTGTAAATTGCTGAAGTGGCTTCTATTTCTGTAGTTACAGGTTTTCCATGTAGTGACAAGATTGTTCTAGGAAGTTGAAATTTTGTCTCTTTCCAAGGTATAGGACATGATACATTAACTACCATTTAAACCTCCCTCTTAATACTTTCACGATTTTTGAAACATGTCTTTATTACTTATGTCATGGGTTATTTTGAGAAGATAAATAAGGGCGGGCATTTTGTTGTAGACCCTAGGTTGGTTATTATATTTTAATAGTAAATAAATCATGTATAATGACAATTATTCCATGAAGTATTTGTTCACATAGCTGTAAGGTTTGTTAACTAAACAAAGTGCAGTCATCATCACGTCTGACTAACCAGGAACTAATCCGACAAGGTGGGTAAATTTCCATCTGAACACGATTAATTTTCAGTTGGAGTTCCCTTTATGAAACTTCCATATTATATATATATATATATATATATATATATATATATATATATATATATATATATATATATATTTAAGTACTAAGTACAAAACAGATCACAACCAGACTCCGCCGATTACTTAGTCACGGTTATCGTTGTTTCTTATTAAACATAAGGACTCTGACCAGTAAAATTTTGTTGTTAATTATGTTTACCAGTCTTCTGATGATATTCCTTATTGATAGTTAACATCAATGTCAAAAGATCTTTCTTCCTGTTCACTTAGTTGATATTTTTAAAGGTCTATATAATTATTAAAAAGAACACAGTTTACTGACATATATACTTAAATACTCTCGTACTGAATGTGGTCATAAAAATTAGCTTTAAAAATACATCTTAAACTATTTCAGAAAACAAAAGATTTGTTATAGGTTGCAAAATTTCACCTCACGTTTCATAAAATCACCTAACATTAATAAATTACAGATTTTTAACGCTAAATTGTTGGAAGCAATCAACGAGTAGCTGTGAACCTAAGGTTTGTGCTAACTGCTTATCATCGTCAGTATATATCTGCGTTATTCATGTATTAAAAATATTATTGAAATGAGCCATTTAGAATATTTTTGGACTCCGATAGAACTAAGAGTGACCATTGAATGGTAACCAATGTCGGCTTTATCCTATCTCTTAGTGATAAAGAATAGACAAGTCTGACATTGATTACTATCTGTTGATCAAACAATGTAAAATTATAATTGATTAAGAGCTCTAGGCTACTTCTTCACTTGTTCAATATGTCTTTTATTGTCTTCAATTTTCAGAATTTTTAGAGTATTGTGGTAGATAAATAAAGGCTGAATGTAGATTAGAAATCATTTCCGTTGTCTAAAAAATGAAGATTGAAGTAAGATGAAAACTAAAGATCGGTCAGCAGGTTACAGAAAAAAAGGATTTAAAACACGAGATATAAGCTTAGAATCAATAATTGAATCCACTGTTGAGATATGTTGATCAATTGTTCTCATGGTGATTTATCGATCTATTTTATTAACCAATCCTTAAACAGAGCATATGGGTGTAGGTTTACATGAATTAGTTTAATTTCGATAAACAATTTCAAGGTTAAATTCATTCTAATTTTCAATATATATGCACTGCAAGGTTACAATAACATTCCTTATGCAAGAAAATTATTACTATAATTAGATCCTGAAGGAAGAAAAATCGAATTTATTTTAAATGGCCGATCCGCGGTTCCAAACACCATACAACGAACCACCATATCCATATGAATTACCACCACCACCACACCTAAACGCACCACAAGGTCCATATCCAACTCAACCTCCACATTCTTATCCACCTAATATTGGTCCACAGTGGCAAGGTAAGATGAATTCATTTGAGATGTAATTATCATTAATAATGAAGGTTAAACTAATGAGTAGATTAATGCTATCTAAAAATTCATAACTTGTTCAGTTCTAAATTTAGAGACAGGATTTGAAAGAATTAGTAGAATATTTTTACACGTGTGTTCGTTTCATCTTTGCATTTTAATCGACAAGGCATCATATATAGTACTCTAATTATATTTTAGCTATACTACTCACTCTGAAGAAGGTTGTCCTGTAGTGTCAGTCATCCGCAGGTTTTCCAGCTTTCTGATGTCTAGTGGTTTGAAACTCCGAAGTCGATAATGACTTTCTACTACTTTTACAGAATATTTTTAAATCGTATTTAAGGTGAATCTGGATATTCGTATGAATATTTCGACATTAAGATTCAAGAGAACTGTGATGTGTCATTCGATCTAATGGCATTTCAAACATGTATTACTATGTGAATTTCTTTCTAATGATTGATTTGGTTCTAGAAGTCTTAGTTTTCTGAAGTTTTCTCTTGAAATCCATTGTTTTTCTCCTTTCATTGGGAACAATGAAATATAGCATTTCAATTATAGACATTATATTAATAGTTCGTTAAAGAAATAACCGACTTTTCTGTAGATATACATCTTCTACTCATTCATATGATAAAATACCCTACTCAGTAATATCATACATCTTAAGCAAAGAAGCACAATATACTACAATAGATTATTTTTGAGTTCTTGAAATTTATCTTCAAAAAAGTTTTTACTTCCAAAGTGTTCCATTATTTTATTATCATGCAACACATAAGGAAAAATCCACTTGGTATTGTTTTACTTGACTCTTCCCATTGATGTTTAGGACTGAAATTGATCAATCTCTTATTGGTATATGTGCATTCTGTGCGTAGTGCATTGATATTGCTTTAATTTACAAGCAGCTGACGAGTCCGAAATAGGACAAAACGCGCATCCATCTTTGTTCATAAGGAAAAATGTTTTTTTGTGTATTATATGAAAAACATGTTTTTCAGAGTAGATACTGTGTACCGATTTTCGTGTGTACAATTTGCATAGCTATTTGAATAAAAATACGATGGAAAGTAGATATGATACTGGCATTAATCGACGATGATGATGAATGAAATTATAAATATTATATGTAGTATAAAACTTACTTCTTCAATAACTTCTGACATTTCTATTACGACTTAGTTTAGTGATTTTAGCGAAAAATCAAACTGATAAGTTGTAAATTGCCTGTCTCATTAAACTCATGGAGAATACAACCATAGTTTAGCTGTAGAGGATAGACGTATGTTTCTAGGACGGTAAGTCTAGTTAGCCGATAAAGTTATGAACCTGCATTCATTGTTGTAGTTAATGCATGTATTTCACACACACATGGCTACAAATTTCTCTGATATTTACTGATACTATAAAATAAGAATAGGTTGGAAATATTTTAAGGGGTAATAATGTTAGAACAGGAAACCACTCATCAAAATTACTCCCTATAAATTTAACTAAGTGAATGAACTCGCTATTGGAGTTTTCGGGATGATAAAGGTAAGTAGTTAGGAGGGCTGGGTTATGTAGCTCGAGACTGGTTATCACAAATTCCTATATTTCTCTAGGCCTTAACGATTTGTTTAGTAGGTATCTAGTTGCACTGTCCGTTTTACTTGATCTTACGAATTAATTTTATATCTTCTGCTTTTGATGGCATTTTGAAGCATTTGTGATACATAATATCACAGTTATCTTAAAACAAATATTTTGTGCGTGAGTATAAAAAATAGGAAACATACATGTTTCACTCAACAAGTGAAGATGTTATTTTTATGACAAATTTACCAAAGACGAATGTATAAAATATATGAAACCTGATAATCTTACAAGATCGTAAAACTTTTATTTAATCAGTATTGAAAAATAGCTTTGTTGGATGATAAGAGACAAGTTAGTTCATACTTTATACCTATTTCTACTCAACAGTAAGGTGTAACTCAAACTAAGAATAAATCTGTGCTTCACTCATTGCTGAAAACAAAACTGTATGACTGTTAAACGTAGAGCTTACTGATTTTCCTTGACATTTCTTATACGCCTGGCCGGTAGATGCTAAAAAACATGATATGTACGTCCAGAATAACTTTATTTTGATTATATTCTGTCACTCATTAATGAATTTATGAAAAGATTTCTAGAAACGATTAAATGAATTTAAACGAAAGAGAATATTACAGTAATCGCTTGCAGGTTTGTTTTGAGCAAAAGCTAATATGACCGAATTGATGGTACCATTTGAATGTTACAGACTTGATGGATGGTTTACAGCATAAAATCATTAAATGATGATATGAAATTGCTTGTCCAGCTCAATAAGCCAAAGTATAAGAAAGTGATTATCTCATGAATTAGTTTATTATCGAGTAATCATTTTTCTGAAACAGAAAGAAATGAAATCCTTCTTAATACTGATCATTATAACGTATTATAATCAAACCTATTACTAAAGATATTTATAGTGTATGGTTTTATTTAATGTTGTTTTGAAAAGAAGGAGATGGTTACCCATATGGAAATTATAATGAAAATCCACATTCTAATAGTAACAACATTGGTGGTGAAGGTGGACGCATGGAGAATCAATTCGCTGCATCAAGCTTCAGTGATAAAAAAATTCGTCATGCATTTATTCGTAAAGCAAGTTATAGTTTATCAATGGTATTTTTCGCAAGACTCGTTTTAAACTGATACCGTGAGTGTTAGTAAAATTCTATAAAGAAAAAAATTACATATCTGAAATCTTAAGTTATGAAAGTTGACTTTATTTCAAAATATTTTAGCGGTAATTGCATGGAAAATGATTCATTCAACATGAATTAAAAGCTAATTGTATTTTTATAAACACAACATGAACATTGAAATACCAAAATTGTCAACTGGGTCAAAACCAATTGAAGAAAAGAATCCTAATCTATAACTAAAGGACTACGACATTAGCTTGACGAATAATTGATTTTTTCATTCAGATGAAAACTTTGAATAAATCGTTTGTTAACAGTGTACCCATGTAAGTTATATACAAAAAGTTGGCGTGTTCCAGTAGATTTAGTTTCATCAGACTGCTTGAATGTTTCAATTAAGTATAATTTTGATAATTGGTTTGTGAATGTTTCACGGGTCAAACTATCAATATTCTAAGGAAAAAATAAGCTTACCAAATACTTAACTGTAATTTTTATTGAAAGCTGTTCGATTATGATAATATTGTCATTTCTGATCTAACTATCTGATGTTAAGATTACCGTGCACTTCGAAGTTTACATTTCGGTCTACTCCACTAAATTCGCTAGTCTATTCGAATAAAATTTCATAATCGATACCATTTAAAAGGAATAGTACTTCAAAATACGAAGCGCTAACCCCATATCCAACGCTCCTCCTTTATCCGGGCTTGGGACCGGCAGTAGCCCTCGGAGGGACTCCAGGCGGAGTTTCATTACAACTAAACTTTTCTTTAAATATTTTTGATTATAATTAAATTTACATTATTTTTCATTTAATTTATCTTATCTAGGTATATTTTACTCTTAGTGTGCAATTATTATTCACATTTGGAATCGTATGTATTTTTTGTCTTGTGTAAGTAATAATATTCAATGGAATTAATTTATTTCTGTTAGTAAACCTGTAACGATTTGGGTACGTCGTAATCCATGGTTCTACTATTTAGCCTAGTAAGTTTATACATAAATTTTAATTGTTAAGTTTCAAAAGTAAGTAGTTTTTGTGGTGGGCAGTTTTTATTCTTTTTTTAAGAAAATGGTAACAGTTGATAAAAATATGGTAAATTAGTAAATATTTGACTCAATTGTAAAATAATTGGGAAGTGTCATGTTTTAGTTGTCGTTGAATTACAACCTATGATATCAATAAAAGCAAACTTGAAAATATACATCTAATTGATGAGATGACAAAGCATTCAGCTCATATTAAAAAAAACTTTCAAATCTCAGTAATACTATTAATTTTAATGATATATATGGTTTGATTCAATAAGAGTATGTTCTTTACTAGGAGGGGAAGACTGGGATGAGAATACTGTTAGTGACTTTCAGGTTTTAATTAGTTTTACTTCGAAAACTAAAATGTTTCGATATCATGATTTCATTACCATTTTGTTCCTTCGAGGTACTAATACTATTTTTTTTATTGCTTGTATGTAGTGCAATATTTTTCGTAACGTATTTGGTACTTGGCTGTATTGTAAGTGTACGTAGAAGATTCCCTGGAAATTATATATGCTTAACTGTGTTTGTAAGTTAATCTGAATCATTTTTGTTTAAATTTTATTAAACACCTAGAAAAATAAATGAATACAATATTGATGTTAATTATTTAACTAAGTTTAAACTATAGGATTATTTTATGCTTTAGAGGTAGTCTGATGTTCAGTACGCGTTTAATTAAAGGTTTATTATAAGTTAATATATGGTTAACATTAATACTTTTTAGATAGCCAGTGTGTTTAATATGTTTCTCAGATATTTAGTTTTATCGCCAAAGTTGATTAACTGGAGCTGTGAATGAACTGAGAATAGTGAATAATGTTGTAGTAGAATACTGTTTCACTATATTAAACAGTCTCAAATCGTTCTACCTAAACATTTCAGCTATTGATTCTTATCATCTCTTCAATCTTGTCAATAGTGATTTGGGTTATTGCTACTTTTGAGTCTTTTATTTAGTTATCAACTGACAGAAACACAGAACAGACCACATGAAATGTATGTGTTTTTAAGAGGTACTTTAGAAAAAAGTTCAAGTATTCATGATCGGACTTCAATGTTATTGAAATAAACAGATATTTTTTTCATTCACTTCTCATCGGTTATGGATATTCTGAATGGTCTGTTAGTAAATGTAACTTAAAATTATTTCTCTACAGAAAATAAAATTAGAGTTTAAAGACTGGAAATTGTTCGAAGTTGTCAAACGGTAATTGATGACAGTTACTAGAATAATATCATATGGATAACAGACAAGCATTAATCACAGTAGTGGTAATGCATTGATATACATATGTATGAAAGATAAATTGTAATGTCTGGCTCTTCATCCACTTATTATCAGTGGAACTGTTTTAACCAAATCAAGTAAAATTTAATTGAAGATAGCTCTTGACACGGTTTAGGAAATATCATTGTAAATTGATCAATAACTCTTATATGATTTGATTAATAACGATTATAAAGTTTCAGAAAATTCAATTTACATAATAAAACCTGAAGTTCTAAGAAAGTGCACAGCAATGTCTTCGTTCTTATTGCTTCAATACATGTTAACTAACAAACAGAAAATTTTAATTTTCACTATATCAAATGTCTTAGTGTTTCTTACATAAAACTCATCCATAAACTGTTCACTTACCTGGATCTACTTGGTTATTTTATGTCAACCATCTCAAGTAACTGGTGTAATCATAAAATACTTGTATGCTTTTATATACGAAGTCAAAATTCTTCTATACTATCGTCTTTAGATATCTGATTTACATCTAAGAAATGTTTCACTAATGTGGTTTGAGCGATTTGGGGCTTCAAATAAGATTTTGTACACTTACTTCAGATCATTGAGTTTTTGGTTTAATACTTAGAAGAGTAGGCGTATTTGTATCAAACGAATTCATAGAAAAATAGTTTATAACAACTGTTTGATTTTTTACTCACATAGAACATATTTTGAAGCTTCCACTCACTCGGTTAGTATTTTTTTAAAGTCTTATTAGGAAGCACTTTATCACTGTAAGTGATATCGGAGTGGTTACTTGAAATATTCAATCAATAATTATAACTTTGTTATTAATTTCCGTAATGAGAACAGACGAAGTGGTGTGAACTGCGAGGCTTTTAAATATTTGTGGTTGAAGCGTCAACCACAAGGAGATTAATATCGCCAAACATGTATTGTCCCGAAGCCATTAAACACTTGAAATTGGTAAAATTTAGAAATATGAACTGCTAGATTCTAACTTAGGACAAGTGCTAGCTTCAAAACCTGAAGAGTATGGATTCTATTCCTGTAGGGGTGAAAATTGAGGACAGCCTGGTTTTATATGAGTACGAAACAGATGTTCAGTGCTCCCCAGTTTTCGATGATACCCTAATTCATCTCAGCTAGTGACAAAAATCACATATAAAAGATTTTTATACCTAGAAATAATCATACAATCTGGGCATTGAGGTGAATCTTAACTTGTATTAAGAATATCATTGTTTTTGTTAATTACACCGACCATCGTTTCCTCAGCCCAACGTCGCTATTTTATAAAGACTAGAACAGGACAAACTAAAGGGATCTATCAATTTATTTAAACACCTAAAACCAGCAAAATCGAAAATAACATAAATAAAGGACTACCAAATTGAATACTCGTTTTTTTGCATGCTTTTGTTACAGTGGTTATAATAGACAAATATTACTCCACTTTGAAATAGCATTACATGGTCCAAATTTACGATTGACCAGCCAAGCAATCTATAACACATTTTAAATAACCAAGATGTTTTGGATACAAGACTAGAGTGAAAAGTTGTAATAATCCATAAAATTAATTACTTCCTATTTCTTACATCAGGCTGTGTTTATCAAATAGTGTTGTATTAAAGTTAGTCGATGTAGTAAGACATCATTTCTTCAAAGAGTTTTGTTGTTAGTTAACTAGATCAAGAGTCAAGATACTTTATTATACAGTAGTATTGATTACAGACATCTGGATTACTGACTTCTGTAGAATCAAAGAACAGGTTTTTGATAAAAAGTTCCTTTTTCTGATAGTTTCATTTTTTTTAGGAAATGCACGGTTGTATTAACACTAAATACCAACAGCACTTTTCCATATGGTGTATTGAAACATTCAATAAATTGATATTGTGATAATACCAAGTAATTCTATCGATTTCTGCGAAGTTCGATAATCAAAACTTTTCACACTTACATTTCACTGCTTTGCTTCAGGAAAAAATGAGAACTGAAAAACAGATTTTCTACTCCGATAAGTGATCTATAGTCAGTCTTTTATCTAGAATTATGTTCGAAATCAATATTTTTAAATGAAGTTATTTCACTTGATAAACTTCTGACTATCATCTTGAAGTAATACATTTAGAACATGTTTTAAGTGACAGATGATAAATGCTCATTAGGAAGACATGACAGCCAGTTTAAAAGACTTTTAAAACTCATATCTGTCTTGGGCATTACATCTAAAATAAGAATAATCAACTTACGATAATACAAGGTTTTTTTCATGAAGCCTAAATCATACTGATCAAAAGGATATTGTTTATTGAAATAGTTATAAGGTGTAACGGGTTTATAGAGATTTTGATATTTTGTACTTCAAATTGCAGAGCGTTCTTAGTTAAACGATCACTGAAAAATAAAAAACGCTGGACAGATGTTTCGTCCTAGCATGGGATTCTTCAGCGTCACGTATCCACAACTCCAAAACATAGAATGTTATGTAAATTGTAAACCAATTATTTTGACATTGACTGATTTAGTTGATCTTAAATATTTTTATCAATCTGCTTGAACACTAAATTGAAAGTGAAGTTAATTAGTAGAAGTTTACTTACTAGTCTCCTACCAACAGTTATAACTCCTAACATTTCATCTTAGAATGTTGTTAATGACTACTTTAGTTTATTTATGATTTTCAACTATTCTGTTTCTTTGCTTTGCTTATTTATTCTACGGTAAATAGACATTGGCATTATCTTATATGGCTGGTTCAATTGGTGCATTCTACGGAGCTGAAGCAGCTTTAATTTCTGTAGCACTGACATTTGCTCTATGCATCTGCATAACTCTGTTTGCAATGCAAACACGTTTTGATTTTACAATGTGCTCTGGTTTTTTATTTGTATTTAGCTGTGTTGTCATGCTTACTGGGATTGCAATCATGATTGTATACTTTGTTTTGGGACCAAATAAGGTAATTACATCTGTTTTTCTAAAACGTTGAATAGCTAAGGGTTAAACATTTTTAAAATTCATTTCAAGTAGAATTAAAATGTACTAATGAGTTACTGATGTCATTTAAATCATTTTTAATTGGAAATGCCTACGAGTTCAGATTTAACACATTATGAAAATAATGCGATAGATATATCTGAAACACAGAAAACACTTTTCTTTTTTCTAGTAATTATATTACTTCACACTTGAGTTCTGTAACTATAAAATCGGCTTACTAAGCAGTAGATTCATTGATCATTGATCTAACGTCAATACTATTCAAAATCGTTTGTTAACAGAAACTCACACAATATTCAGTCATATAGTAACATTATTACTGATTAACTATGGATTAATGCTTCGAATGATCAATTCGTGAATGAATAATGTACGGACTACTGATTTTTTTATTTTTTAAATCCTAAAATCGGCACATATACATGTTACATGAATTCATTATAATGCGATGAAAATAGATAGTTTGATTTAAACGATAAAACTCAACACGTCACTTGCATCTTCATTACTTAGTATATGTTAGCTGAATCAATTCTTGACATGATACGCTGGATAAATTAAAACATGGTGTTAAACACATGTACCCTTAGTGACTTACAAAATAAATCAATACTGTCAAAACAGTTAAACCACTGATTTAAACTAAATCAAACTAACAACACAGTGAAACCTCTAAACTAGAAAATTAATTTAAGTGTATCTCTAGTCATACAGTAGTATTGATATTATTAGTGTTTGTTTAGGTAGGCTCATGCGATGTTGATCAGATTAGTTATTTTTTTTCTATTATCTATGGATATAATAATATTAGTTAGAAAGCAAGTTCATCCTTGTGAATTTAATGATTGTTTTATTTCTAATTTACGGCTCATTGACCAGAGAACATATATAGGTCAGTGATGTTTTATAATTGAGTGATGTTAATGAATAGATTTTATACATTTATATATATTTTTCTAGATTCTACAGGGCGTTTATAGTGGTATCCTAACCCTATTATTTGGTTTGGTAAGTTACTTTATTCATTAATAAATATATTATTTGATATCAGCTCATTATTATTAACTATTTTTTTTTCACTTATCGATCGAAAAATTGTGCATTCTGTGAATTAATATTTTATGATGAGTGTATTTCTGAAAGGTTCCCGTAATCTAAGATTTCATCACTTTAACTATGATGACTAGATTGACTCCTCAGATGTACACATCAACAACCCAATACACGATCGAATATGCAACACTCACGCTTCAAAATAAAAGCTTAAAATTCCGAATACTGAGTCGGAATTCATAGATTTCAATTCTAATTTCGATCAATTCGCAGTATGACTCAATCATTTCCTAATCCCGTCAATCGGCAAATGTCTTACATTACACATATTTGAACATCATTGGTTACAAATAAAAATAATATATTTGTAATATCCCAATGAGTAGAAAATTCGATTTTCTGACGTTTCGTGACTTAGTGTAAGTCACTTCTTCAGAGAATAAATAACCAAATTAATCCAAGTTTAAATAGTACAACGGAACAATGCAAGAATAATATTTGATCAATCAAAAAACATGTCTGAACAAGTTGATGTCATGTCATTTCTGTCAAGGTGATTCATAAGTGATATGTATGTAAACTTGTGTGACCTTTATGGTAAGAAAGGATAGAGTTTAAATTTGTAATATGATAGTGTGAAATTGTAAATACGATCAGACTGAATGGCTAGGATAGATGGTCTAAGTAGGATGTATGGTAAGACCTTCCTTTCTATTGAGAGAAGTAGGATTAAGCATCATATGGAACGCCTCAGCTACCCTCCTTTTATTTTGGTTATTTATTCTCCGGAGAAGTGACTTACAGTAAGTCACGAAACGTCAGAAAATCCAATTTTCTACTCATTGGAATATTACAAATATATTATTTTTATTTATAACAATCAACCCAATGCTCAATTTATTCGAAATTATCAAATCAAACCTTGGTAATGACACCTATCATTGGTTACAGTTAATTACTACAACTTCTACAATTATCGGTTCAAATCAGATACTAGTGAGCATCTGATATATCATTTATGGATCACACTAAAACACACAAACCATTGGATCTCGACTCAATAGACCATAGGTTAAGTGTTCACCGTGAAACTTGAGCGACTGATGTTCATTCGTCAATGGGGTAGTAGATGTGAAATAAAACACGTGAATAAAACATGTGTAGTGCTTCCTGAGTTTCGATGTTTGTCAACTAGGATAAGTGAATAATATAAACTCTCAAAACTACTTGGATGATGTAAGTATTTAGTGTCAAAAATTTGCTTCTATTTGAATAATCTTAACTTTAGACCTATATTCAGGTATAGTAACTTGAATTTATGAAAGTTGTTTTAAATGCAGAAACTGATTTTTATACATTAGGGTGTGTTAATCTATGTTGTACTTATGAGATTAGGTTTCCAGACCAGCATCTATAATGTGACTTTTAGTTCTATACCAAACCGTATAGTGTTCCATTTATTATAGAAAATGAATTTAAACCTGATGGAACGTAGATTTCTATCTTCTAATAGCTCTGCTCAAGCTTGTAAACAATGACTGTTTACCGATTTTTAGATGTTTATTTGTTATAATTTGAAAATGTCCCAAAATGAAGGTAACGTACATTCGTCATATACTCTATGTTTTGACTCCCGAGATGATAGCAACCGATGGTTAGAGACCCTGAATGACATGGCTCAAAGTCGTTTGCAATGACGCAGGTGCATACACTCTTTGTGTTCTCTCAAGTTCTAATCTCCGGAATTCTCCTTGTCTCTTTTTTCTCTTCCCATATTTATTTCACTGAATTATACTCTTTAAATAATATCTTCAAACCCTAATCTTCCCGATTACTGCTTATACTCTTATTATCTCTACCGCTACGGGATTTGAATCGACAACTGCATCTCTGTGCTAATGTGGTATGGCAACCCGAACTGATGTACGTACGTACGAAGTTCTACGTTGTTACTGACTGGCTATGTTTTGATTATCAACTCATGATAACTTAAAACCTAAAGTCAATTAAACATTGGAACTGTTTGTGTTCGAAATAACTAATCTCTTCTTTTTAGCAACACAATATAATAGTTAGGTGATCGATTTACAAAATCTAAATGAAATTGATGTTTTAAAACAGAAATTGTGAAAATTTGTATTTCATGATTAGACAATTTATCTAATGTGATAAGATACAATTTAAAGAAAAATGTTGTGGTTGTCGGTATTCGATATAATTCTTAAACTTCGTATACTGCTCGCTTTGATAACTGTTACTAGATAACGTCCACAGTGTATAAATCCGAAGACGAATACGAGGCGTTGATTAAATTTATTATTGCATCACACACAGATCACCAAAACTACAGGTATACGAAGCAAGAATGATATGCGAGTGCTGAAGAGCAAGCAAGCGAGCGAGTGAGTGAGTCAAATGAACAGGATTAAAATGTACATATAAATATATACATAGGAAAATGAATGCGTCATCGAATCATTTAAAAAACTAACACTAACAATGCTCGAGCATACATGATCATGCAAACGAAACAATACTAAAGGTACAGTGGTACAGACAAGTTATTGTTGTACGAATGACTCTATCTGTTAAATAAGTTAGTAAAAGGGCTTAGCCAAATTAAATGTACACAAACTCAATGTATATTAGCTGCTATAAAGTGGTAATTTTTAGACAGACGGGCTTTAAAAATAATTTGAAATTATTTCTTATATATGATCCATGTACAAACTCATTTTGTCCTATCAGATTATTACATTTATACATGTAACGTTGTTTAAATATTTTAACTCAGATTGAGAAGGCATAAATTAATTTTACTTCGACTCAAATAATAAGACAAATATGTCAGTAAAAGTACTTTGATCAACTATCAAAGAAGAAAACAAATTGATGATATGCATTGATCAATACTGTTCCCAGATTGTGTTCTAAACAATCAGTGTAGTAATCAATATCTACTAATGAGATATCAACTTTGAAAGGAGATATCATGATTTCAATAGATTCTGCAACATTCGGCTGATATAACACTGAAAATTAATGAGTAGTTTATTTTTTATATTTCGGTTAGGCATTTCAAGATTTATTTAACATTGTATCCTGTTTATTATTATTATTACTCTTCACAGTATTTGGCTTACGATACACAACTAATAATGGGTGGAAGAGAATTTGAACTTGAACCAGAAGAGTATATATTTGGTGCAATGCAACTTTATGTGGATGTTGTATTCATGTTTATGGCTATAGCTGGTATTGCACGTGCAGCTTCGTGAATCAATGACTAAACCAATGAATCAATACAAAAGCGTATATCTGATAACCTACACTTATTATTATTATTACCAAAGGATATAATTTTCCTTGTTTAAAATGACAGTGATTATTACGTATACAGAATAAATAAATATAATCAATAATTTGATAATAATCGAGACGAAAAACGAACAAAAAACTAGAAACAGATTATCATTATTTTGTGAATATGTACAAAATGTAATCTATTTTCTTATTTGTTTTAACGTGTCATTATTTGTACTTTAATTACTTGAACCATGTATGAATTTCGAAAAACAAATTTATTGACCGAAATCAACAATAAACTTTATGGAATCTTCGTAACCCAAGTATTTCTTATTCAATATAAATACGTAAATCATCATTGAAATATCAATAATAAATAAAATTGGGTATTGAATTCTTTCATATAGTATTTTTTTCTTGTTTTATGTAACACGAAAACATGTCTATTAGTGGACTATTGATAACAGACTTGTTAAGATATTGTTTGGTATAAGGAATTGATTGAGTGTTATTTCTATTTGACGGTTGAAAATGTGTTAAGTATAGTTATGAACCAATTGGCAATGATAATTTAGTGAACAAGAACACTACTGGGGATAATGAAATGTATACACATACAAAATCTGAGAACCTTACAGTAAATACTTCATTTGCAAAATGTCATTCATTTGTCTCAGACTTGACTGTTTCTACGTTTCCATATCAATCACTCTCTGTTCTCGTTCTGTTCTCCTCGAACTTCTTCACCTTTTGCCGCCAGGCATCCCACTTTCTATTGGTGACATACTATTTATATCTGTCGACATCAGTAGCACACACCACTAGTTTTAAAAGACGGAATAATTCGAATAGATTCATTTGGACAAAATGTTGATCCTACTGGTAGAATGCAACAAGCAATTGTTTAGGAAGAATATAAACCAGTTGCTATCAAACCGTTTCAACCTAGAAAAATCTCCACTTCAAATTAATCAACACCGGTAGGATTAAATATTTGGAGATTATTATACCAGCTTTATATATTGGTCACGTAACTGATTATCTTCAAAGGGTTTATATAGAATCGAATGTCTGTAAATATGATTAACTTAATAAGCTTGTTTCATAAATTCAAATCACTATACCTGAATGTAGGTTTAAAGTTAAGATTACTCGAATAGAAGCAAACTTCTACACATGTTTTATTTGAGTATCGGACTCCTCACAAGTTCACATCTACGACACCATTGACGATTGAACACTAATCGCTCAAGTTTCACGGTGAACACTTAACCTATGGACTATTGAGTCGAGATCCAATGGTTTGTGTGTTTTAGTGTGATCCATAAATGATATATCAGATGCTCACTAATATTTGATTTGAACCGATAATTGTAGAAGTTGTAGTAATTAACTGTAACCAATGATGTTCAAATATGTGTGATGTAAGACATTTGCCGATTGACGGGATTAGGAAATGGTTGGAGCATAAGGTGAGACTGTAATTTATGAACGATCTTTGAGCGACGCTAAAGTGACTTTGAGAATGTCCACTTACTAACTAGGACTAAATGAGATTTATAAACCAGTTTGATGAATTAGAACTATGACTTACATTTGACCGTTAGGGTTAGGAATTAGATTTACGGTTTTCATCGCGAACTGGCATAAGTTAAAGTGCCAAAATGCTATTTGGCCAAATGGATGAATGAATTTCGTACCAAAATACAAAATCTGTCATTTTATATCTGATTGGTTTGCCCATAAATTGCACTCTTGCCGGACCATACTGAGAATTGATCGAAATTAGAATTAAAATCTATTGAATTCCGGTCCAGCGTTCTGAAGCTTAAGCTTTCATGTTGAAACCTGAGGGTTGTGTATTCGACCATGTATTGGGTTTTCGATATGTACATCTGGGGGGGGGGGTCCTATTTTAGAACGAAACAACTGAGTAATGCTTCTTAATGTACAGAGGTTGCTTCTATAATTATTGTCGGTAAGTACTCTTTACTTATAATTTTGATATTCATGAATTCTTTGAGATGCGTAAGTTAATTTTGTAGCTTTTACTATCTTTATTGATATCACCAGCAACAAAAGTTTTGAAAAAGATGAGTTAATAGTCTTTCAGAAGCTCTGATAGTGTTCACATAACTGCTAAGCTATGAGCTATTTAAAATTACAGTCAATTTATTAAGGCTACAATAGTAGGACACTTGTTCATATTATAAGTAAATTATTATTTCTTATCACGTCTCTGTAAACATAAACGTATATAATCATCACTCTACACATAATATATTTATCTAAGGAGATTTCTTAATCTTATTTCTTTTTCACGTACTGTTCTAGATAGTATACATTCCCTTTTTCTTAGATAAATCACCTGGATGATGGAACATGTCTGTATTTATCTACAGGTTGATTCCAGACTTAGTAGATCATTTTGTAAATTGGTAATAAATTATCCTACCAAGTTTATTTTGACCATTTCAAAACATTTTTTTCTTTATTTCAGATTCGTTTATATTAAGTAGGTATGTTTTTAGAAATTTTCAATACAATGTATATGCGATTGCGAAAAACATCCATTTCTCTTTTAAGCATGTTTTTTTGAGCATTTATTTTTCAAAACTGCTAATGCTAATCTAATAGCCTGATATAACTATATACATTGTTATAGGAGTTTGTATACACTGTAACATTATGTTAAAGTATTTTCACATCAATACAACATTCAATATTAGAACATCAACAAATTGTCCCTTAGTCTAAATATTGATAAGCTTTGAAAATAAAATTCATGTCAATCAATTGATGTTTCTAGTACATGTGAATAGTTTTCTTCATCATATGTTATTCATAAAAGAGTTATTTGTCTTTCGAGACTTATTAACAGTAAACACTTTCAGTGCTTCACTTAATCATACAATCAACAAAGATATAAATAGATCTTGTAAAGATTTCACTACATAGAACTATTGTCAGTACATTTATCAACAGCGTTTATATGTCCATATATTAAACATGTGACCAAACAATTCACACATAGTTATTTGTATTACTCCTATCAATATTCATTCGAATGAAAAATCAAATTGATCATAAAATCTGATATATTGATACATTTAACCATTGTATTACATTTTCGATCAAACAGATGAAGAATAGATAAATCAAAAGAAAATGATCAGGATAATAATGGTTTATCATTTAAAACTAAGAAGAGAAAATAGAAGTGGAAAAGAAGTCAACATTAGAAAGTATAGAATAATAAATTATATATTTCTTACAGAAATATAGAATATATAGTACGGTGAGACTATAATTTATGGATGACTTTTGGGCGACACTAAAGTGACGTTGAAACAGTCCACTTACTTTCTAGGGTTAAAATGGGTTTGTAAATTAGTATGAGGAATTAGAATCAGAATTTAGAGTTAGGAATCAAAGTAAGTATTTTCACCACAAACTGACATTAGCTCTAGTAACGAAATGCTACTTATCTATATGACTGAATAAATTTCGCGCCAAAATCCAAGATGTACAGTCCTAAATTTGATTGGTTCATCCATAATTATAGTCTTGCCATTCATTCAGGAAGACGTTTGCTTTCTTTTTATCCATAGTATTAAATAGTTATTAGGGAAAAACCTAATTCTCTTCACTTTCACTTGAAGGCGAAGTCTAAAAGGTGGAATATAGTATGAAGGAATCTATGTTGACAATATTCAAAATGAGACGATAATCCACCGATGGTATTAAAAAACTGTTGCGCCCTATCACGAATAAAATGAATTCAAAATCATGAAATCCTGAAAACAAGTCGTATTTCTGAAGACGGTTTAATCATCTTAGGACCTAAATACCCTTGTGCAATCCCTGATGGGGTCATGGATGAGTGTTGATGTTAGTGTTTCTCCAACTGACATCAGTCACCGATAAAAACCTTTTTGTAATTTAACTAATTTCTACAACTCACTGAGTTAAATCGTAATTTTAATGTTAACTATTTACTAAAATATACCCAACTTAGTGTCACTAGCAACTTAATAAAAACAAAAAACCTTCGCTTATTATTTTATGTTTAGGCGATGTGAATTCTAGTCATATGACTATCATATGATATTGTTGTATTCATTTTTGTTAGCATTATATTTATGTACTGGCTACTTCAATTCACATTTGGCGCCTATTATTAAACTAGTGAAATTAACTGTTTACAAATAGAACTAAGATCCATCTTGTCTGTTTTTCTCGACATTTTAATGTAGATGTTAAAAGAACGATGAAAGAGATGGCTAAGGTCAAAGAATAGGACATACGCCTGCATTGAAGTTATTGATAAGTATATTATTTAGAGAAGTACCGTGCACTGATAACCAAGGCGTGGAATTGATTATCAGAGTAGAAAAAACCCAATAGACAAAATATTTACAGCCCAGGTAAAGTTGTACACCAGTTTTCTTTGTATATGCATTTGAATGTCGTAAAGGAAATATTCTCAACCTAGTATATTTAATAAATGTCTTAGTTTCTCAGTCTGTTAGCTATGAAATAAACTGTCAGAATGGTTGTAAGATTGTAGCTGTAATCACAATACTCTTATCAGATTTTGGGTTTTTTTAGTCAAGAACTGTAATATTATCTGATGCACTGGTGGAAAAATATATTGATACACCAGTTGACATACGTTTCAAGCGTGTTGGTGTTCACAACGATGGATTAATGACATAAACTGCAGAGAACTTGTACTGGCTAATGAAAACCATGGAGCTCTTTCCACGCAAGTATGAAGACGTGGATGATACATGAGGATTTATTGTACATCACAAATAAATCAAAACTATCTAAATACACTGATTTATATATGTTTTATCACACAAGTTGATAGTCAGTTTAACATAATCTAAATTGAGTATTATTTGACATGATAAATTACCAATAACTTAGTAAGTGAACTTAGGCTTACGATATCATAAACGGTTATAATGAACAAATATGATTTATTGACTGAGTTATGTAATTACTCCTCCATAAAATGGGATCACATATCATATGAAATGAGAGAAAATCAATTTTCTATACCACACTCCAATTAAATAAAACCATATTTATTATATTATTTAACTACAATGTACATAGAATAAATACTTTCCATGAAATCTGAAATGTGGTTATTTACTATGATATTTCACAGTTTGAAATCATGAGTCGATTGAAGCTAGACCATTATGGAAAACCTGGAAGCATTGGACGGCTATTTCGTCCTAGTATGGGACTCCTCATCAGTGCACATCCACGATCCCGCACCCCGCGGGATTCCGACCCAGGACCCACTGGTTTCCAGCGCGAGCACTTAACCACTAGACCACTGAGCCGGCATCCAACGGTGTTAATGTCTAACTTCAACCAATCC